GGGGCAAAATTTGTTATGGTTTATAATGGCAAATGATACTTTGAATATTACATGTTGATAACTTGATTGGAATTATAACCCTAAGTTGACAGTTTGATACTTTGTAAATTTTGAGCCATCCCTACCCCCAAGGGCTGTAGGGTGGGGCCCAATGGAGTCTGTGTGCTAAAACAAAATTTCTTCTTTTTCCTTGTTTAGAATTAGAGGTGCTAGTTAGGGCCCCGTATCGGAGATACGGGTGCCCTATCGTAATCACTCTGTCTGTCTGTCTGTCCGTCCACAAATTTTGTTCCTGGCTGATAACTTTTGTATTTATTGACCGATGTACATGAAACTTGGTCAAGATGTTCAGTTCACAAAAATACTCATTGAGGTAAAAAGTCATCGGGTCAGGGGTCAAGGTCAAATTTGGTAGCTTTTCACTGGTGAACCAATTTGCTATGACATTATGGAGCAAAGTTGTTGGGAATTAAACAAAGAGACACACTGAGGTAAAAAGTCGAGGTCAAAGGTCGAGGTCATTAGATTCAAAGGTCAAGGTCAAGTTTTGCATCTTTTCACTGATGAACATTTTGTTATGACACTTTGAAGCAATGTAGCTAAGAATAAAACAAGGAGTCAATTGACCAAAGGTCAAGGTCACTGTGTCAAAGGTGAAGGTTAAATTTTGTACCTTTTCCCTGATGAACATTTTGTTGTGACATTATGAAGCAATGTTGTTCAGAACTTAACACAGAGTCAACTGACCTTAGGTCCAGGTTACGGGGTCCAAAGGGTCAAGGTCAAGTTTTGTATTTTTCACTGATGAACATTTTGTTATGATATTAAGAAGCAAAGTTGGTCGGAATTAAAGAATAAGTCAACTGACCAAAGATCAGGGTCACTGAGTTAATGGTCAAGGTCATTTGGGTCCAATGGTCAAAGACAAAGTGGATCTCTGACTTTGACCCTGGCTCATGATGGAGGAGGTATATAAGGTGAAATAAAACAAATCAAAGCTAACAAATGAGTATTGCACCGGTATTTACATTTCTGTTAGCCCAGCAACTTTGTAGGTGGAAGGAAACAAGACTCACATCATAGTACATGTAAAATGTATATTTTGCTTCCTTGTGATTCTTTTTGAAGTCAAAATATCAAACGTCAAGCTCAGCTATATGGGCAGATTGCCTCTTGATGATTATGGGGGGTATATTGCCACAAGACGGGGCCCTTACTGACCTGTCAGTGTTCTAGTTTCAAATACTTTTCAGTCTTAAATCTGCATGCTAGATGTTGAATAAGGTGGTTTTATTGTTTTTTGTCACTTTGAATAATATTTCTGTTCATGTTAAAAACAAAAATCAACTCTCTGTATAAATATATCAGGTGACCGTTAAGGTCCATGGGCCTCTTGTTACCATATGCAACTAATGTAGATATATTTTCAATCTGATATCTCGGAAATTTCGTTTACGTAAAGTGTTCTCGATCCAAGCTTTAGCGCGGTATTGTTATCTTTGTTTCTCTATATCTATGAGGATTAAATGTGCATAACAGTCTATTGCAACTACAGAGCACAATCTCACCTGTTTCCTGGTACCCTGCTGCCTGCTGTTAGACAGAATGCGTCTCACTTCTAAAGGACAAACTGAACAACCTCTTGTGTAGATTTATGATCTATCGCATAATCCAGTGTGTGCATAAAACTCGAGCATGTCACCTGAATATAAAGCATACAAAATTGTGTATTATTTCAATCAGTAAGTGGAGTTTAGACAACCTTTGTCAATAACTTAGATACTTCCTCGTGATAGTGTTGTCAGGTAACATAGGAATGGTTAATGGGACAAGCAATCAATATTTATAATATTTTATCATTGTTTCCTGATACCTCCGTATCGTGATAACGTTCACGCATTTACTATAGAATCACGTTTAAATTATAAATTGTCACCAACGGATATCACGTTTAACTGCATTCCCACGGCTGTAACTCTTTTTCAAATAGTAATAAAATACTTTGTCCTGTTTTGTATGCTTAATCACATATTCAGTGCCATGACTGATAAGTGTCCACCTTTTGTATCACGTGCTACATTTTACCTCCAAGGCTTTTCCGCTTCTAGTTTTATTTAGTCGTGTTAAACATACAAAATGCACGCACCTTGTGTTGTGGAATAATGTTCAAATTCCAAACCGCAATTATCAGCGTCTTTTATCAAAGTAACAGCACATTTCATGCAGATGTGTCGTGTTCGCGACTACGCATAGGCCATACCAACACCATACATAGTTATATTTTACACAAAGAAGACCAATCCTATTGTCATTCATGTTATCATCAATTTACAGTCAAACACTGAATGATTGAATGCGCTGATTTCAAATAAATACGTGATTGATTTTACAATGTACCATTTTGTTTATATACATTGTAGTTTCTGTGCAATCAATCTGTAAGTATTTACATTCAATTAGTATCTATAATAAAATATTATATATTTCGTAACAAATTCGTTTGCTTTTGACATATTTTGACATCTTTGACACATTTTAACATTTCATTTCTGGTTTTCATGTATTCTTTTGTTTAAATGTCTATTTTTTACATTGTTGTTTGGCCTGACTTAAATTGTCGCTGGGCCGTTAAACGAAACAATAACAATAGCAATCATGTTAATAATTAACAAAACTTACTAGTTGATATTAATGAAAAACAAAACTAAGTAGTTCATATTAATGAAAAACAAAACCAACTAATTCATATTAATGATTGACAGAACTTACTAGTTTAAATTAATGTTAAACAGAACTTACTAGTTTATATTAATGATAAACAAAACTAACTAGCTCATATTAATGATAAACAAAACTTACTAGCTCATATTAATGATATACAGAACTTCCTAGTTCATATATATAATTAACCAAACTAACCAGCTCATATTAATGATAAACAGAACTTACTAGTTCATATTAATGATTAACAGAGCTTCTTCGTTCATAGTAATGATAAACAAAACTTACTAGCTCATATTTATGATAAACAGAACTTACTAGTTCATAGTAATGATAAACAAAACTTACTAGTTCATATTAATGATTAACAGAACTTCCTAGTTCATAGTAATGATAAACAAAACTTATTAGCTTATATTAATGAAAAACAAATCATACTATACTAGTTCTTATGAATGATTAACAGAACTTACTGGTTCATATTAATGATTAACAAAACATACTAGTTCATGTTAATGATAAAAAAAACTTACTAGTTCAGTTTTTCATTAATTCAAATACTTTGTCAACATGTACTTTTACTCCAAAGCCCTTTTCGGGATCCAAAAATGACACTCGCGTTACACGATACTTACTTCGTATCTTCCAGTTCCAGACCGGTACTTTGAGTCCCCTGACAATCCAATACACTAGTCTAGTATACTAACAGTGTCCTAATAGAAACTGTTAAATCCAAAGCAGTTTAAATACAACGTTTGGTTAGCCATACTGAAAATAAATGTTATCTCAATTATACATTAATAGTAAACACCCGATAAATCGTCCTTAAAAGTTTTTGTCTGCTACCTGGACGTATTTCCAGTGTAAACACCATTTGTTATCTCCAAACGTTTGCACAACTCGTCGAACATAGATAATTTACTAAGGTGACGTGTCATTGCTGACCTGAGTGATAAGATAAAAACGGGTTGGTAAGCGTAGTTCGATACAAGTTTGCTCTAAATTACTTTATTCAGGTTGTCCGCATACAGTTTTGACGGGTGTTTTTTTTATTACAATGTCTGTGTAGATATAAGTCCACAAATGAACATAATTAATAACTCGTGCATTATATGTGTTCCTTACTCACTGGCAACCATAAGTCTGCTTTACTTTAAAAGCTGGACCCAAATAAAATTTGGTAATTATGAATTCATTAGACCAAAGTACCTTCAAGGAGGACAATACAACAACAGTCCGCTTCAAGCACATTTACACACATGCACGCACACATTACTGATATGCAGGTCATCCTTAATTGACAATAAATGTTAGCAGGACGTCAACCAAAATAAAACCAAACCAAATTATAATTTCGTAAAAGTGAATTGCACCGAAAATTCAGTATATTTATGAATCCAGCTGTCATATGATAAAACCTTTTCATATACCTACAGCGGCGTAACATAGCGGTTACATTAGAAGTCCATCAAGCTTATACGCTGTACCTACCTCTTTCCTACATCAGTGTAAACCGACATTCATTAGGACTAACAGTATCGCCGTGAAGTGAACAGTATATGCTAATTCTGGTTGATTTATATAAATCGGACTCATTTGAGACTAGTGATATTTCAGGTGAAGAATTTAACTTATTTATGTGTTCGTTATGTGCACTCTTGCCGAAACATCGACCATCAGAACAACCTTATAGTGACTATATGTTTTAGCTGTGATATTAGCTTACCAATTTATAAAGCAGCAGTCAACTTCCAACAGGAAGATAACAAACTGCCTTTCTGTGGTATAATTGTACCGTACAAGGCAAAGTTTGTTAAAACAAATTGACAAGATCATTGGTGCGGGAAAATCAATACGTTGTGTGAGATTATTAAAGACGACTCTTTTTTTTAGGAATTATGACCCCTGCAGGTGGGGGATCGGGAAAGGAATACACCTTATGTTACCCACTGCATGTATCGTAGGAGGCGACTGATGAAGGAACCCCCTGCAGAAATGGCGGATTTGCTTTTGTGTCCTCTATTTGGGGACACAAAAGCGACCAAAATAAATCTGCTGAGCCCATTGCAATATTTGGGATCTTTACTTCTATCTACTTCTTACTACCTTTTATTAGCTCACCTGGTCCGAAGGACCAAGATGAGCTTATGCCATACCGTGGCGTCCGTCGTCCGTCCGTCGTCCGTCCGTCCGTACGTACGTCAACAACTTCTTTAAACGACTTCTTCTTCTTAACCACTGGTTGGAATTAAACTAAATTTGACTGGAAGCATCCCTAGGTGGTGGGGATTCAAAATTGTACAAATGGTGGGGCTGACTTCCCAGGGGGCTTAGGGGCGGGGCCAAAAGGGGTCAATTTGCCCATAATCCTTTAAGCGACCTCTTCTCTTAAACTAAGAGGTGGATATCATCCATATTTAACTGGAAGCATCCCTAGGTGATGGAGATTCAAAATTGTACAAACGGTGGGGCTGGCTCCCCAGGGGGCTGAGGGGCTGGGCCAAAAGGGGGCAATTTGGTTATTAGCTCATCTGGCACGAAGTGCCAAGTGAGCTTATGCCGTGGCGCGGCGTCCGTCGTCCGTCTGTCCGTCCGTCCGTCCGTCCGTCCGTCCGTCCGTCCGTCCGTCCGTCCGTCCGTCCGTCC